CAAATGATGGTGTTATCGTTATCGGAGCGACGAATCGAGTGAATGATTTAGATGCAGCTCTACTTCGTCCTGGCCGCTTTGACATTCAAGTTCAAGTTCCTTATCCCGACTTAGAAGGGCGCAAAGAAATTATACAGTACGCTTTTTTCATATTTTTTCATAATTCATTTTTCTATTACTTTCTGCATACTTCTTGAATACTACTTTTTTAGATTATACTTAGGCAGAATATCAGTCAATGACGACGTAAATGAAGATGTTCTAGCTAGAGGAACCACAGGATTTACTGGAGCCGAAATTGAAAATATGATAAATCAAGCAGCTCTTAAAGCAGCAGGGGATGGATTTATGAAGGTCACTATGGCACACATGGAAGAAGCGAAAGATCGTGTTATGATGGGTGAATTTTGTTATTTCAGTTTTAAATTTGGCCTCGTCTTCATACATTTTTTAGTGGCAATTTTTGATAAGCTTTTTTCACTCAAGATGACGCACTCCCAAATGTCTTATGCGATGTATCGTAAACGTAATTTTTAGTGCAAAATGTCAGATGAAATTTTTTTTAGGACCGGCACGAATTCGTGGTCGACTTCCGGATGAGGAAGCTAATCGTATTACTGCCTTTCATGAAGCAGGTCATACTCTTGTCAGTATGTACACGAAACATGCAATTCCAGTTCATAAAGTGACAATTATACCAAGAGGTGGCTCACTGGGACATGTTAGTTTTTAACTTTCCTCATATAAAATTTAGTATTAAAATTGTTGTTGTAGCATTATATAACTTCTTTGCAGCACAGCTTTTTAAAACGTCGCAGAACTAATCATGCTTTGTCTTTGCATTCGCTAAATGTGTTTGTTATAGACAACTATGTTACCGCAGAAGGATGAATATCACGTGAATCGAGCTCAAATGCTGGCACAGCTGGATATTTTAATGGGTGGTCGAGTAGCTGAAGAGCTTATCTTTGGCCCAGAAAAAATAACTACCGGTGCTGGTGATGACTTGAGGAAAGCAACAGACCTTGCAAAAAAGATGGTCAAGACTTTCGGAATGAGCGATAAGGTTGGGTTATAGTTCGTGATTTAGACGGTGATCTAATTTAATTTTGTTTTTTCACAGAACCGGTCGTTTCTTCAACTCTTTATACGAAGAGTGTGAAGTTTTGTGAATGAGAGCTGATTTATTTCGAACTCTCCAAGAAAAAGAGCGGAACTATCATCAAACCAAATTTCGTTCAGAAACTGAAATTTTAAATATGATGAACTGCGGGGAAAAAAAAAGCGGGAGTGATTTCTCCTTCCGGCTCGACCTGTTTTGGTACTTTACAGAATTCAAATGATGGATTTTTTATGGTGCTCTTTGTAGAATAGGTTCGAACGATTTCAAATTGAGCTACTTCTTTATTTTCGGAAGTTGCTAATGAGTTTATTTCATTTATTGCTCCAGGTAGGCTTGAGGATCGCAGACGATGAGTCGAGATCGCTAATAGCTGTTAATCAGCTGAGCTCACCATTGTCAGAGATGATTGATAAAGAAATCGGTCGCCTCTTGAAGGAATCTTACGAACGTGCGAAGGATATACTCATTAAACATAAGGTATAATTTTATAGGCTTGCAAAGTAATTGTTATTGATTTGCCTTACAATTTGGCATTGGTGGAATTTCTGGACGAATATTAATTTATACATGGGTTAGTTTACAAGTGTAAAGTTCTAAGGTAACGATGGATAAAGCCATATTTGTAGTTTATTGAAGCTACCGGACAGTTGATTTTGAGATTCGGATTTCTTATTAAAAGGCTTTTCTCTTTTATTCAGTTTTTTTTCCTTTTTTTGTATTTGCTCCTTTACAGAAAGAACATGAACTTTTGGCTGCAGCATTACTGCAACATGAGACGTTATCAATAGAAGAAGTGAAAGAGTTGCTTCAGAATGGCAAACTGCTTTCACATGCTCCAGAAAAACAAGAAGGGTCGAAAAGCAGGAAATCATCCGTGCGATACATCTATAAAAATCCAAGTGTGATTATAACGCCAATCGATGAAACTATTCCGAAAGAGGAAAGACAGATCTAGCGGATAAATGAAGTTGATAAATGACGTTTATTAGTCAATCACAAACAGTTTCACTTCAGCTTTTAATGTATTTTACTCACATTTTTTTCTAGACTTATACTTTTAGGTGATGATAGTGCATACCTTGTTTTTTCAGTCTCATCGGGATAATTAGTCGTATTTAGACAACTGCATTCAGGAATAAAGTGGCATATATCACGATTTGCACATGTCGTTGCCAAGCTATGATTTATTTTAAAAATAAAACTGGAATTGTTTAAACTCTTAACTAATTCGAAAGATTGGTAGACGAGGGAGAAGGACATAAAAGCAGAGTACGGAGTTTGTTACTTGACTTCACCTTGAGCATTATGATGCATGTTGTAAACTGTTTGTACATAGTTATTATCCTCGTCTATTCTGTGCTTTTGTCAAGTCATCTCTGTTATGTATGTTTTTGAGAATATTATATTCAGTGGTAAAAAAATTAAGTGGTGAATTTCCCATATAATCTATACTTTGCTGAATTCTGTGATGTAATGAGTTTTGTTCGATTAAAACTGTTTAATTATGGTTTCAATGCGACTAATTACGATTTGTTTAAATGGAAAATTTTGCGTTTAGAAAATTTGCGTCATGGGATTGCTAACAGATCAGACAGGATCAGTGAGCTGTAGAAATGTTGCGAAATACATGCAGAATACAACTGTGTTGGAAGTAACATCTCGTCAGGTCTGTTATATTAAACAACGTCGATTATAAGAAGTGGCCCAGGGATTCCAAGTGCTGCGAATATTTTTATTTCTCGAGAAGTTGTTTTGATTGTGGCAACTCACTGCTGCAACAGATGCTGCCAATTTAAATACCCAACTTTCTATTTACTGAGTGTTTCAGTCCAAAGACTGCTATTGTGCCCTGAAGTGAAAATTTTGGAAAGCCCAGCACGCGAAGAACAATGGATCATAGAATAACAGAGAGAGTGGTAGGGAAGTTGTGAAATTGGTGAGCAGATTTATTACATGCATGTTGCCATGTTGCCGATTGTCTTCGATCGCTCTGATTGCATACGAATGCAATTGTGTTTTTGATAGCTTAGAGCCCATAATGTTATTAAGACAATGTTTACCTTATAAGGTAGTCATAAGAATTAAAACTGGAGCTAGCAATTAGAATTGAATAGCAGTCATGGTGTTTCTTCGCCACTCGGGCATTTTGCTGAAATCCGTCCTGAAGCCAAAACGAAATGTTACATATGTTTTGCCTTTGTGAATAGCATAATATTAGTCCAACGAACATAATTTCCTCACCATCAAATTTAGTTTTTATTTTTATGATTGCAGTCAATTGCTACGGTTTTAATGTTTGATATATTCATACATTTGCAGCAATGGATGAATAAAGGTTTACTTTCCATTCATTTACTGTACACTGTTTCCAGTATTTGCTGAATTCAAAATTCAAAATCTGTTGGATACAAAATTTACTGAATATCATGAGATATGATATTACGTTATAAGTGAAGATGAAGCTGACAGTGGTAAAAATCCAGTCTTCCTTAAGAAGAGATGTAAATGGCCTGAGATCTAGCTGATTTGAAAAGAGATGAAAGTTTTATAAGATCATGCTAAACAATCAATATCTTTAAGTGCTACGGATGTATTGGTATAAGTGCAATCTGCTGTACAGTGTAATCTGGACTGAGTAAGTTGTGTTGGGAAGAAAATTGGGAGATGATGCTGTATATAGGGCAGCAGATATCTCCTATATCTTAATGCAAGTAGAACATGATTGAACAAATTGAACATATATACCATTTGTTCAAGTTTCTGTCTCTCATAAAAATAATAATTACTGTTTATCTCTCTATCCAGTAGCATATCTAATCCTTTCCTGGACTACTCATCTTCCTACTTCAATCCCATCTACTTAATTATAATTATGAGTGGAAGTTAATAAGTATTTTCCACCTTCATTACTATTTGTTGTGGGTTCTGTTAAGCTTAAAGTATTGATATTTTCATTTTACTTTAATATATAAAGCATTATTGCTTGTTTTACTTATTACTGCACTTTATTATTTATTCGTTAAATTTGTTTTCCATCCCCTATCCAACTCATATATTGTTAATCCTAACAATAAATGATGATTGAGATTATAAGTCAAATAGCCTTTGGGGAATATATAAAGGTATTTCCTTCGCTCGTCCAAGAGATTATTTCATTAATATTCCTAAACTTTGCACATCATAATTAACTATTTGAATTCATTGAAAGTATCGAAAAGAGAAAAACAGCATAGAAAACATTTCGCTTAACTGATAATAGATAAGAGATATGGGGTGTCAATGTGTCAAGCAAGTTTTAAGCTATGTAACATTCAGCATACTCTTCTTTTTCTTCTCTCATTTCTTTATTCAAACAAACAGGTTTGGAAATTAGTTCTTTCTCATATATATGTTATGTAACGAATATAAAGCATACTAAGCTTTGTATTCCAAAAAAGAATTGGTAAACTGTTTGGTGACAAGAATCCGAGTGGTGTCTCCGATTAGAGCCAGATTAACAAATGGATGAGCTTTACAGAAGGTTCACATGGCTTGATTAAAAAAAAAACGGATTCATAAAATAGCCAAATGACCTTCATGATATAATATTTCAAAATTCAGTGCTACTCTCATATTTGGTCGAAATGGACTTGGAAGGTAAATTTTAAAGCGCATTATTACCACACATACTAAGAACAATTTATCATTCATTATGGACGAACTTCAAACTTCGATGCCAAAGAAAGCAATAGGAAGATGATTACAAGCATTAAGGATTTTGAAATAAATCACGGGAAATTTTTGGGAAAAAAAGTATGAACGATAAAATAGTTGCTTCTGGAACTGAGATGGAACTACGCTGTGCAAGGTGAGCAGAGGTTCTAATGAATTAACCTGACAGTTATCCTCAACAAACATACATGTATAATGTTCTATGTCGCGAATATAAGCAACCAGAATAGGATAGAAAAAAGATGAGATGGAATAGGCAGGTCAGTGGGCATGTTTATGGCAGGCCTATGAGGTTTTATTGATTTTGAAAAGAGTGCGGAAGAGTGCTTATTGAAAGATAAAAGAAAGTAGAATATCCGGAGAGGAGGGAAAGGATAAGAGGTCTCTTTCATCCTTTCCTCTTATGTATTCATTTTTCCCATGCAAATTCTTCCTGGAGCATAATGCTTGATTTATGATGATTTATAAAGCTGACTAATCGGTAACAGTTCATTACCAACTAGCATTTCTTGATATTCGGCTCTACAATTAAAGTGTAAGTTCTCCAAGTTCAACATCATCGAAAGTAACAATGCATCATGTCCTCCACTATTTCAGGTTAGTTTCACATAGACGTGTATGTGAGAAATTTAATTTAAACGAAATGTTCTATTTAAGTCATGATTTAAGAACTTATTTAGATTATACAGAAATGTTTTTGCTTGGTAGGAAGTTGTGCATTCCCTATTTGCTATCTTCAATGTTGAAAAATCCCTTTAGTCTTTGACATTTTCAAGTCATAATTGATTGACGGGTTAACAAGGAAGTTTTTTACCTATGAAGTGGTAGAACATTTAAGGTGGTCTTACTTTTTTGCTAAATCTTTTTCCTGTAAAAAATTGAGAACAGCGTTCGGCTGATAGCTAAAAATTCAAAGGGTAAACATGAACAGATGTGGAGCAGGTATAAAGCAAAAGTCCTAATATCGTTAATTAAATAAACATGCATATATCGTTGATGGTAAATCTTCTCTATATATCGTCCAAATATCATAATGATTGCAAGTCATTTCTGCTCGCAACACATTTTTCTGTTATCAAAATGTATATTTCCACGTAGGAAGATGAATAAATTAACTTACCTGTATTTTTCGGCTTCAGTTAGGGGATATATTTTATATACTTGGCCTTAATGAGCCGCAGTGCTCAGGCCCATTCTCTTTCTGTCTATCTCGTGCTTTTTCTGCAAATTTGTGTTGCTCCCGTCAACTGAACAAGCGAACTGGTACTAAAAGATCTGATATAACAATATTGATAAAATTTCAATTAAAAAACGACAGTTACAAGCAAGCCATTAAATTTTTTGAGGCAGTGCCAATTAATAATACGTGCAATTTTTGATTGATAAGCGACAAACCGTACCACCCTCTCAACTGCTTACTTTCAGAATTCTTGCCTGACTGATTTAATCGGTATTTGCTATTTGGGTAAAATTATCATATGTTGTTTCTACAAATGGACTATAGTGCATGAGTTTTGCACATTTCTATTTTCCTAGTGTTTGGTAAATTCGTCACATTTTGTCTCATCTTAACAAGGATTGAAGGGAAGGAAGCAAGTATTAGGAAGTAATATTAAGTAAGGACTAGAACCACTGCTTCCGCTTTTCATGTCTAACTTTTCTTTTATAATAAAAAATGTTCTCTATTTCGTGTTAGAATTGGTGAAATATATATCCAGAAAAACAGCACAGCTATAGTGGATTGGAATTAGTCAACCATAAGTAATTAGTGTTCACAACTGAAGGCATTCAATTAATCTATCAAATTACTGTTATGCCGCCACTTTTATAAAATGAATGAGTGGCGATGGTGTCTCCTGTTCTTTCACAAAATGACTGAGCTTCTCTTTCTTTAAGGAAGCATTAAACTGTAAGTCTGAATTCCAAATTTGAAATAGAAGTGAAATTTATTTCTATATGTAGGAGTGATGATGAAATCGCCTGCACACTGAGAATTCCGCAGCAATTTCCGATTGTATATGGGCGGTAGATGCTCAAGGAAAGCACGGAGTCCAACGCATGCGAAACTATCTGATTTTCTTATTATACGTTCTCTTGGCAGAGGAGCATTCGGCAAGGTTTGCTTTCTTTGACACTACTTTTACTTTGAACTCACTATGCATTTTCATTTTCATTCTTTCTTTAGTTTCAAAATTATGGTCCCGAATCGCTAGAATCTTTGAACTTCTATAGCCTCTAAAAATATACAAGTAAATTCAAAGCTCAAATATTGCTGGACCAATCATACCCGATTTGGTCGTTTTATCTCAAAGTTTTTCTTTTGAAGAATTAAAATTATTGAGAATGTATTTCCCACTTTTTAATTTGAATCTTACAGTTGGTTGTCTTGAATAGTTTAGAGTTTTTCAGGTCTGTATTGCACAATACCGTCGAACAAAGAAATATTACACGTTTGAATGTATAAATAAAAGGCGCTGTGTTCAGCATATGATAGCTGACAGTGTTCTACATGAATTAAATCTACTGGCACATCTATCACATCCGTTTATCGTCAATTTGTGGTTTGCCTTTCAGGTAATTCATTACTTACCTACCTAAACTCAAAGATCAAGTTTGGAACCCTTTCTCTCAAACGACGTTCTTTTGCTTTGAAAAGATCTGCCCAATCTTGCAATCTATTCAGTGACCTATCCGGTTTCGATCTTGCTTTGAAAACTTCGCTATATAAGGCTTGTTCAGTTTCTGCTCAAAATAATTTGAAATATCATGAGTAGACAAACTACATTTCTCAAGATTTCGAGGAAGTTGAAAAGATCCAAATATTGGTTAACGAAGTTAGGGGAGTATATACCAAGAGTCTAATTAAAAGATTCCTTTGATCATGATTTGGCATAATGTTTAGTGTACCACTGAATTCAAAAACATTGAGCAAAACTATTTAAATTCTTCCTTGATCAACAAAGATATCCCCAGAGGAACCAAATTTTTGGTCACTTTTCTATTCAGAATCTTCTCAATTCCTAAACCAAGAAAGCCGTAACACTGTTGTCCTTAGCAATTCTAGTTTCGTTACCAGGATTGCTGTACGAAGTTGCCGATCCTCCTTGATAAGCTAAATATAATTCAGATCTTAATTCTGTACGGTAAATTAACTGTGAATTTGTATGTCGTCAATGTAAGTAAGATTCAAATATCTTGAACTCATTTTAAAAACTGATATTCTAGGATGAACGTCACATTTACATGGTAAGTGACCTATTATTGGGTGGAAACCTAAGATATCATTTAAATCAGCAAGGACGATTTGCCGAAGATCGGTAATGCCTCATTCATCATTTGGCTGTTTTTCGTTAATTTTTATGATTTTCTTCCTCTAGAAAAACCTTTTTTCCTAACGATTAAACTGATCGAATAGTTAAATGTATGATTCAGTTATAATAAGCGAAATCAAGTGAATAATGTTCATATGATATTGACAGTGCTGCGCTAGTGAGTGACATCTTAATCACATGGAAGAATGTGGAATAAAGTATCGACGGACTGTAGAATGACTGTTACATGTTTTTTGTCTGGGAGCAACTGATGTGGACTTACAGTTCGAAGCTGTACGTTTATGAGATAGCACTGGCGCTGGATTATCTACACAGAGAAATGATCATACATAGAGATGTGAAACCGGAAAATATCTTGTTAGATGATGAAGGACACGCACATCTCACTGACTTCAATCTGGCCACGCGTCTTGCTCCCAATACTTACGCTACCTCATTCTGTGGTTAGTAAAAACTTCTTAAAAATCAAGTAATGCCTTGTCCAATCTGTATACCGCTAGTTCTTCATAGTCTACAACTCATTACACTTCCATTTATTCACATCGACGTGATGTGAAATCTTTTTCTAAAACTCATAGGACCAACTATCAAACGATGTTGTTGTTTTATCAATTTGATGAATACCAATACTTTTTCTTGAAGACATGCAATGAATCACTGGTTCACACGTTGCAGGTACACGGCCGTATATGGCGCCAGAAATTTTACTTTGTTCTCTAGGTTATTTGGCTGGCTATGATCATCGTGTTGATTGGTATTCCCTCGGTATTTGTTTTTATGAAATGCTTATGGGACGAAGACCATTCGAATACGCTAACCATTCGTCTTCACGACAGGTTAACAAGCATTTTAATTGATTGGCAGTGTCAGAACTATTGAGGACCAAGCAGTAGGCTCGAGTCGATGTCAAATTTTAGGAGCTAGTTAGGGGAGTTCTAACCTCTAACCTCCTTTTTTCGTTTTCCGGTTAAAATAGACGTGCAAAAGAAAAATGTTCGGAATTTAGACATACCCACTGTTACATATTTCAATAGTTATAAATTACAGCATGCCTCTCGTTAAGATTACATTAAGTTACTTGCAATCTGACATCTCATGAAGGACAGCAAATGTCACCTCTCACACTGCTGTTTCTTGCGCATGGTCATAGTTTCAGGTACTTTGTTTGATGAGCAAAAGCTTGATAGCGCTGCCGTCTCAGTGGCCTTCAGATCTAATTTCTTTCATTAGTTGTATGCTCAGGTACGAGGTTGGATCTCGAATTGCTTCATTTGCAGCTTTCTCCCAGCATCGTTACATGGAAAGGATAAATATGAATGATGTTTTTACCAGGTCGTTAAATATAAATTTTGAGTCACTTTATCAGAGGCTTTCTGCTGCTTTCTTCTCTTATCTTTTTCGTCTGATTTCATTTAAGATCTTAAATTTTCTCTTCCTAAATTTTTTTTTTTTTCAAAGCATGCAATGAAAAAAAATTCCAAGACTTTTTATCGCCAATGAGAAATGACCGACTTAGGAAGACGGCTCCGATTTTTATACCCCGTTCGGGTACATTGAACTGCGATCCGACTTATGAATTAGGAATGGGCATTCTTGATACCTCATCTGTGAATCGTCAACGATGTCGTATGGTTAACTCTGGGGAGGAGATCGAACAAAAAGTGAACGAATTTACCCAGACATTCGTTTCATATAACCGAGAGTATCAATGCCGAATGAATCCAAAGGTAACAAGTAGAGAATTCAAGCTGCCAAAGATTTTCTCAATTAAATTATAACTTGAATATCCGTCAAATATTTTATATTTTATGATGTCGACTCCAGTCTGAGATAATTTGACATTAACCTGACGCGATTTGCCAGGATATTCCTCTTATCTTATCCATCATCAGCGTCACTATTTTAAACAATTGGAACAAAAGCTGTTTCACTTGCAGATTTCGTTCCAATGAACGTAAAACACTACTGTAAAAAAAAATTTACTACTTCCTACCTCAGTAATACCCAACATTACTTATCACCGCGGTATCGCGCATCATATCATCGGAGGGTAATTCTATTTTTCTATTCTTTTTCTTTTCTTTTTCAGGACGAAAGAAATCAGTTGAAAGCATCGTCACCACAAAGAATGCGAAATTCATCAAATGCATTATGATCTCAAAGGAATATTTAGTACTCTCAAAAAATTTGGTTTTAATATGCCTCCTCGGGTTTTTACAGTAAAGAACAAACAAGAGGTTATATGGTTAAGAATACTTTGTTCTATTCCAATTTCTGAAAAAACAGTAGTGATGAATTCTAGTGGCCAAAGATACTGCCTTTTCATGGTGATGCAATTTAATACTTTCTCTTTGGTTTGATATATTTTTAAACGTCTCATATATTACCATATCTGTTTCTTCCATGAAAAAAGCACTGCAAGAGTCGGAAGAAAGCCAGCAATCTCGAAATATTATTTGATTCTATGTTTATAGTTCAACAAAAACCTCTAGAATTTTGAAACCCTACCAATGCAACCACCTAGATAACTACAAATCTACATAAGTATATATAAGTTACTCATGAAGAATAACAGCCTGCGGAAATTCATCAAGAGTTCTCTAAATAATACATTTTGAAATCAAAAACAACAAGCACTGAGTTGTGTTAACCTATAAACAAAGTTTGACAAATTTTTCTGTAAACTGAAATTGAAGGGAGTTTCATTTTCTAGTCAGGAAACTATAATTTGTCGAAATCTAGCTCAAGTAGAAGGAATAACGTTGAAACATATAAGAGAAAACCCCGCACCACAAGAAAAATTTTGAGGAACAGAAATGAAAGGGTTTTAAATTTACCGAAGATTTCACCAAGTAAGAATCACTAGGATTACGAGATTAACGCATATTCAGTCTAGTTAGACCACTGCTAAAAATCCATCGATCGCTATTTCGGAACAAGCTCATGATTTTTGCCGTTATACAGGGACAACTACTGTTGATCACTAAATTAGGGGCTGGATTAATTTTAGGGAGAACAAAACTGAGAGAAGTACAATCGGCATGAATCAAATAATATTTCGCAATAAATATAATTATTAAAACAGAGATGGATAGATATAAGAGAACAAGTTATACAAAATAATGAGTATCCTGTTCAAAGCGTTAGACAAAAATCCATGCTTTTGCAGAACCTTTTTCCGCAAATACGCGGTTCTTCATTTCAAACGCAAGGGAGAAAGAAAATGACCTCAGTTCCAGTTATTAGGTTCAACTTAATTTAACACAATTCAATGTATTGTAGTATCACTAATAAGAAAGAAAACCGTCAGGCTGACAGGAACCTTTTCTCATTGAATCGAAGAGCAGTCAGGAAAATTAAGGTAAGGTGTCAAAGAAAGAAATAAAGTGTATCCTACCAAGGAAAAAAAAATAAACGTACAGTGTTGAAAAACGACCGGAATTTAGCATCTGAATATAAATATACTGTGGTGAAGTTGCGTTTAAGTAATCCATGTCCTTGGGATTCTTTGATTTAAAAACTTGATTAGATTAAGGAAATGGTCATAAAACTGAAAGATACTTTGTTGATTAAATTTAAAATATAGTAATGAAAACCAAAACGTTACAGTACGCATATCTGTGAAATGAATTTCTTAAAAAGTGCATCGAATAAACCAAATTCACAGTGGTGACAGAATACCAGAACGAGCGATTGGCTCCTAAACCAAACAACGACTAATTTCTAAACATACTGAAACATCCGAAACGCATTCAATCCACCACTCCATCCATAGCCTAATCAACCCAGCCAAGAAAAGTAATGTCATTCCCTTCAGACTAAATGATTATAAGTTTTCAGCAGCTTCTGTAAAGAATCAGTCTCTCAGATTGGTTTCGGTCAAAATGGTCCTAATTCTTCCTCCAATTTTATTGCGTTTATTTAGAACCTCTACAGAGGTACCACGATTAATGTATTAAGATCAGAACAAGAAATTAGAAGGGATTCACCAGTTAAAGATTCACGTCAAAACTTGGAACTTCTGAAAACCTGCATAATGAATCATCTCATTTACGAAAGTTCAAAGAAAATTTCCATCGTCTTCAATCAGTTCAACATAAGCGCATCACGTCATATATTCCTGCAAAACTTGAAACAGAGAAACGATGATGTCATTAAAATTTAATAACAAGCAGCGCATTGAACATATTTGGACTTTTGATGTCCCTCAGCTAAAGTACTTCTAGAAATCGGAATCATAGTCTTCGTCGAAAATATTCTATAACCAAACATATTTGAAGAGTTTTCTTAAATTTCATCTTTAGTAAGAGTGATGAATTTGCTATAATTCTAATCAATGAAAGTTTCAATATAATGAAATTAACAAAGATAGAATTTGAATAGAAGTAAATTCAACACAAGTTTTCGTTTTGAGCCGCGTGTGCCCTCAAGCCTTCTCACAAAAATTCCGCTTCGGAAGATGAAAAGTGAAACATCAGCAATTTAAGCAGTCCTGACTTCCATTTCCGCTTCAATCTTTTTGGAACTGCTGAACAAGCGTTAGTCCAGAAAAAAAAGCTGTAGAAGCGTTTTTCCATGCCCTACTGTAAATTCACTTCAAGGAATGACGAAAGTTTGATCAGAATGTGACGTTTGCTTTACAAGCTCAAAACAAGCCTACGAAACATAAGGCGAACGAAAAGAAATGGTTTCACAGGCCTTACTTACTCAGTAATTCTCAGTGTTGCTATTTAAGGTTTTGCATGGTACTGTAGTCACAAACGGAACATTTGATACGATGTGTTAGTGTTGGACTGAACGAAATTGATGAAATTTCCATCTAAACTTCCATAATGAGAAGACTTCTCCCACATTTATATATTGCAAATTTCAAGAAATTTCGGCATATTCACAGATTTTTTTTCTGAATAGCAATAAGTAAAGAAATGGAAGTAAAACATTCCCGTATACTGGCAGATGACACGAAGAAGAGCCAAGAAAATCAGCTCCTAACCAGATTCACAAAGTAGTCGATACTTAAAAAGAATCTTTCAAATGTCATTGTAAACTATTTCCCTCTCCTCTCTTCTCTTCCGGAACTCGTGAAGTTATCTAACTTAACTACGTGAACATTTCGGATACTGAAGGGTTCATCCGCTACCCCCTCCCTTCTTCTCATAAATTATCCCCTGGTAAGTCCTCGCAAAGCAATTCCCATTGGGAAGGCCGTGGTTATGGCTAATTCCACTCCCTACCCGTGCACACATTATATACATACACGCATACATGCACACACCCACACATGCACACACACATACACATACACATACATACACATATGTATCGATACCACCACCAATGCATCACATCGTACATACACACATAGCACAGAGACACACATAGATACCCAGATACATACCCACACAGATATACACCACACATACCCACAAGCAGAATCGCCTTCCCCTGCAAATGCCGTGACGGCAGGTCTCACCCACGGGCAGAAAGGGTTGCCTTCATACTTCCCTGTGGAGCAAGAATGACTGCTTGCCCGTCGTTGTGTTAGTGTACATCCTACCCACCCACCTATCCATCCATCTGTCCTATAGCTCTTGATTCCATCCGCATATTCCCTGAACTAATATGGGCGTGCATTTGTGGTAGTACGATGAGAGTTGCCCACATCTTCCCATAGCTTTTGCAGCGTAAGCCTAAAAGGTCAGAACATCATATCCCAGTCTCAGTTCTACCACATTATTTTTCACATACAGATATATTTCTGCTTGATAAATGGATCACAGCATTTTACTAGATTTACGAGTCTGCAAAAACAAAAGTGATTGTATCATAATGATGTCCAAGCGAGAATGGATATTAGTATTTGTGGAGACGTAAAGTAGTATGTATGGTACTAGCGTTCGATTACTACTCCTTCAGCGTGAGTTGTTATGGATGAAAAATCTGCTGCTGGTGGCTGCTGGTACACGAAATTCCCGCCCTGATCTATAGGTTGTGGACAACAAATATTGCAGTTTCATCGAAAAGCGCGATTGACTTTCTTTACCAAACGAAAAGGTGTTATGCAGTAGGAGGAAAAGGCGTCTACCGTATTATGGATGCAGTGAATACCGCAACGATAAATACGAGAAGTCAAATGATTCCAGAAATATCACATTTCTTTTCAGGTTTTTGATGACATCATTAAAGCCAGTAATTGTGAGAGATGAAAGGATAAGTATATCATCGCAACAATTAACACCACTAATGGATTTCGGAGAACCGGAAGAAAAACGAACTCGACGTAAGCCAAATTTCACGGTGCAGGAGAGGATGCATCTTGCACAGTCATATGTAGAGAGCTACGAGGAGTATAACCGGGCAAGTCATTTATAAACTACTGAATTAGAAACGAACTACCCGAATAATCTTGCTCGCGCACTATCTAGATATGGGAAAGAGACCTACCTTGCACTGAACAGTGCAAATTGTGAGACATGCAATCATCAACAACAGCACTAAGTGATGAAAAACTGAAATCACTGGAAATGGAAAGTACCTGCTGATCAAAAGATGGATGTCCAAATTACATGAACACTTCCATGATTACGGTGCTAGTGATAGAATGGTGATAATGATCAAGTAAAGTGTAGTCTAAGGAATAAACTTTTTAATTATGAGCTTGTGGTTGACGGATTACTATATGACATATGTCTCTAAATTTGCATTCTTTTTTAGGGCTTCACGCCTACAACAAAAGGAGAAGCTAAAATTGGGCGTCAACGTTTGCTCGAGCGATGGGCGGCCGAGCTGTCCAGTTTTGGTATCGTTGAGCGGACGCCAGTTGAAGTTGAACAGAAAATAAGGTCACATATTTGCAACAAACTGTTTCATTTTTCGAATGTAGCATAAATTCAGTGATCAGATAGTACGATAATAATGTTATGGATAGCTAACTTAACCTTTTTGGAATCTTTTACTCATAGCCTTTTTCGGGAAGACTTCCTGTCTTGACCTCAAGAGTTTACTGTTTTGCTGTATTATTTCCAGTACCGACAATTTACCTGAACTACCTTACCTCTGCTATCTTATATTTAATGGCTGCTACTGACTTGTTGATGAAATTAACTCAATTACCTGGCGATTAACAACTGGAATAACTGGTATATAAAAGAGATATGTTGTGTATGGAGTGGTATTTCCACTGAGCAGTAAGATAAAAAATCGAGAATATAAACATTTGCAGAGATTATATGAAAAAGATAGCAGCGAACCGAAAACGAGCAGTGAAGAGGGCCATGAGTCCTCCATGTCAACTGATAAGTTCCGTTGTTTCGGAAAATTCTACAGTGGACGATTCAACAACAGACGATTCACTGACCGCATATGCTGGCTTCTTGCTAGAACAGCACAGAGCAACTCAGAACGACTGTGCTGAGTTGGTTGTTGAGCTTATCAATTGTTAAGCATATCTACTTTTATCAAACAAAATGCTATAACGTTACATGTAAAACTTGTCAACTATTAAAAGATGAACGGTGGTAGGACTGTGAAATAGAAACAGAGTTCAGCTAGTTTTATGATCGTAACACTAAAGCTAAAATGATTTTAATACATCTGTTTCCCTCACACAAAGCACAAAAAGCAGGACACGTATTTTTTGAGTTGCGGTATGTTTAAAATCCCCCAGACCTATTGCCTCTTGATCATGTGAACATAGGTGAAGGACGATAGACGTCATAACAATTTATTTCACATAGTGTATATTAATGATCTGATAATCTTTACCCTAAGTCAGTTTCAATGTTGTTTATTAAATGTCCGTAGAATTCTTTCGCCACTACCATTTTAAATCAGTTTAAAAAGGAAGTGTTGGTATAAATGAAATGCGGAAGAAAAAAATAATTTTCCTTGAGCTTGCCTAATCCGTAACTTCCACTCACTATTAGAAATAGTTACTGATGACTAGTGGTCATATCAGAATTTTACAATTTCATGAATTTAAATAGACCAAAGTTATTCATTTGTCATCACTTCATTTCCAACTAAACTAACACCTTTATCTTATTATTCTGATCGACAGAGTGAAGGATATGTTATTTATAACCGGAAATATAACCACAGATTATCAGATCATCTTTTCAGGAATTTTGAGCCATTGGGACTTGTAAATAGTAACTATGTTGAGGAAACTAAATCAGGGACGAATAATACTTCTGTTTTGTGCTTTAAATCAACAAGTAATACAAGAAATAGCTGTCGTAAAAGGTATGGGAAAATCCGCTAACATATTTCACATAGGGATACATTATCTGCGTATAATTCGTAAATTCACTTGAATGAATGAATGAATGAATGAATGAATGAATTGAATCCAGCTGCAAAAGAACCTGTACAAGTGGAAATTTATCAGAATGCAAATTTCAATGTTTGACAAATGCAGTAATTATTAATATTTTGGGAAAGATGCAACAAAAGCGAATTTGAGACCATGAAGATAGTTTATTTAACAAGTGGTTGTAGTATCTGAGAAATACTGACTTTTCAGGAAAGCAAATGACATGAGTCCACTTCCTAATGAAAGGGAGCAAGCGGTGGAAATGTTGGAAAGCAATGATGAAGTTGTTTCCCCATTATCAGAGGTGCGTAAGCAGCGGATGGATTTTGGCCCCATTGATTTGGCATTGAAAAGTGTATATATAGAAATTGCCAGGAAAGAACTTGAAAAGAAAACACTTGAGGTAGAGGCAATGAGAGTTAATTTAGAAATTAAAAGACTTGAATTGGAAGGGAAAAGGCATGATGTAGAAAAAAAACGCCTTGAATTACGGAAATTACAAAGGAATGTAATCAGAGATTCACTAACGATCACCTCAAGAGAAGGTAGTGGAACTGCTCGAGGTACATCCCTCACTGATCAATTTGATCCTGAAATTGAATAGTGGAGTTTTTTTTGAAGGGGAGGAGGAGGTCTCGCCTTATAATGGTGTCATTGTACAATTAATTAATTTATTACTTCTTCTGTAGTAGAATTTGATGCTAGAATAATTGAACTCGAAAATCTGGCTTTGTACAAATGTGTGTGCTGTCGCTTCAACTGCATTTTTGCTAAGCTGATTTTGAAATGCTCAAGTATGATGACCATTCTAAACTGTTCAGGAGTTTTGTACTATACTCATTTAACCCTGATTGTTTTTTTTTTTATTTTATCGTGATTGATGGTACATTTAAAAAGTGAATTGTAAGAAATTACTGGAATAAATAGCGCTAGAATTAAATAGTTAGTTTAATTTCTGAGTAGTCATCTCTTAAATGACCTGTAATAGCACGCGTGGTAAATCATTCGCAAGCATGATTTGAAAACGTAAGAGGTCTAGGAATTACTTAGCTTGCAAATTCTGTGCTTCTAATGATACTGAGAGTTTTGTAATGTAGGAAAAGAAGATAGGTCTGAATTTCTGTCTTCTTCGGAACACAGCTGGACATTTACCGCTTTATCAGTGCTTTAAACGAGCTTTAATCTTTGTTTTTATTTTATTTTGTTATTTTTAAAAACTTCTATGCTGTAATGAATTTTATGAATTTCTTCCATCCAAGTTAGGCAGACTGTTTTTCATCGAATTTCGTGGACCAAAAGATTTTTAAAAAAATAAAAAAGGATTTTCTGAATTTGATGAGTACGAAATGGTTATATCGGCACATCTCTTCGCTGTGCTAGTACGTCAGACCGCATTTTAGCGCTTACTGTTTATCAGTTTTGGGAGACCATGTTAGTTGGGAAACCCGAGACCACTTTATAAGTAATGGCTAAAATTGAGATTCTGGGTGTTGATTAAAACATCTACTTTATTAATTATGCTGCTAAATGATCAAATTCGAAAGAAAACGACATTATAAAGCCTTATTTAGCTTACAAGTACACAAAAGATTTCAAAAATTTTTTAAATTTGCAAAGCTACGAATATAAAAAGGCTCGAAAGTACAAGTAATCTTCCCAAGCAAAAGCTATTAGTGGCGTATTTTCGACTTCTTTTTCCAGTTACATCGCCACGAAGTACTACTACAAATATTTCATATGTCGCAGATGGCATTTTTTTAAAGTTAAGCTGTGTGATCGAAATAGAGCTTGATAATCTTACTAGGCATTGGGAAATGAAAATGGATAAGTTCGATCAGTAACTGTGCATAATTGATTCAATCTCCTCACCTGGTCACAAAGATTAATACCTATTCATGTAGAATGTCACTTATCATTCAAAATTTGTAAGAGCAAAGGATGACAATACACGCGACAGCGATAATCCACTGGTACCCAATGAAGCATCATGATGATCGGTGCCCAATAAGACTTCCCCAGTTAATAATAGATTGTCAGCAATGAAAATCTATGTCCATGGTTAAAATTCCACGGACCTTATTAAAGAGGGACTCAGGACTTGCGCAATATGCAAATATTTCTAGTTATAAATGTGGGGATGAAATAGTTGGGAGGGGAGTAGTGGACGAGGTATTTTGGTCAACGGAATAACATTCCAACTCTTCGATTAGCGCATTACTAATGCAATGAAGCTGTTCTGTTATATCGATGTGGAAGAATGCGAGGCAATAATTGTTCAATTTACTTATCTCCTTCACTTGTTATTGACCTAGAATTTTTGTATCTCCGATACATAGGACGACGTAGTGAGGATAGGAAAGATTGTTATTGCAGCCGATTTCATTAGATACCGATCATAGGACGCACACTCGTGATAGCTATATTGTGCATGAAAATATTTGTGCTTCAGTAACAGTAACATTAGTGGCAGTTTTCATTTACGTTCTATTCAAAGGCACATTTCGACTTATTGTTCCTCATTCTAATTCAATTACCTTAGAATGAAAGTAAATCCTGATCACTTATTGTGATTCGTCTGAGGATTACATCTGATGTACTGCACTGTTTTAATAACTCATTTGTCCGGTTCTTGCTGTTTGTTGTTATATTTCACATCCTTCGTTTCCTGAATTAAGTTAATGTTGCAGATAAATAAAAGCGATGCAATGAACTTTTATGAAGTAGTTTTACATATCCTAATGAGAATTAAGAAGGACAGTCTCGCATTTCGTTTTATGTAAGTAATTTTATATAAATTATTTTTTTTCTTCTTTTTGAAAAGGGTCTTGCAGTTCTTAAGACAGTGTATATTTTCTTAGATATCGTATTTATAATACCAACTGCTTTGGTGCATGGTATACTAAGCGACAACTAAACAGAGTTCATGAAAAGCATCCAAATGGACATTCCTCAGCTGCCACATTTACATATGGAGGTATTTCTTAAAATTTTGCTCATATATGAGATATTTCCTGCTTAAACTAAATCAATCAAGACTTTATGTGTGAAGATGGGCCATTCTCCTTTAATATCATTTATGCATTCTGAATATCATTATTCATGATCAATAAAATATTTTCAGTCGATTTTGATTATGCTGTTAATGGTATTGGTAGTATTAGGTACTAAGAAACCGTATTTGTAATGGTGATCTCAACAAGTCAGCAAGGTATCATTTCAGATATCACTGTAACAGCAGTTCCACAAAACAGTGATAACTACAGTTATATGATTATGTGTGGTTCAACTAATGATTGCGTTGTTATCGATGTTGGCGATGCACAGCCTATACTGCAGTGTTTGAGCGATGAAAATAAGATACCTCAAGCAGTACTTGTCACTCATAAACACTGGTATCCATTCATTATGTTTTTCATATAATTGAATTAAAGAGAAGTATTTGGATCTTCCAACTACGTTAACAAAATGTTTTATTCATTTTATTCTTACAGGGACCACTGCTACGGCAATAAAGAACTTAAAAACGGTATAAGGAGCTGAATATTTATGGTGGAGAGATTGATCGACCCGCTGACGTCAATATGTAGGGCTAAGAGAAGCAAATCATTATGCATTTTTCTGGACTTTAGTAAAATATGAAACATGTTCATGAGGAAGTCAACACTTGCAATATCTAATGACCAAGATCAAAAGTATTTCTCGGACCAGCAAACTCTTTCTGATTTCAGTTACTGAATCCGTGTTTATTATCATCTATAGGTACTGCCTTTGTGACTTATCTATAGCTTGGTTACAAGCACAGACATAAAATTCGTAGAATTCTTCCCCGAATAAATTCTTTTGATGAAGCGATCTTTTCGAATTAGCAGAGGGCTCTTATGGATTTGCGAATTGTTGTGTTCGGTTTTAATGATTTATGAAAATTACTTTAATTTATTTTCCAGGTATGTTCGAAACGAAGCTTTAATCCAAATTGGGAAGTTGCATTTCAAAGCACTGCACGTTCCTGGACACACCGCTGGCCATATGATTTATGCTTTGCAGTTAAATGATGAACTCAAATGTTTGTTCACGGGAGACTTCCTGTTTATCGCCGGAATAGGTATATGTGTAAGCTTGATATGATTTTATATATTGATCACTTTTAAAACTTGTAAGTTTTCAAATTATGGAGCAAAACTGAGGAAAAAAAATTTGTATGAATTGTTTAGGTAAAATCTTCGAAGGGAGCACTTCACAAATGATCAATTCCTTATTGATGCTGAATGATTTTCCACCAGATACCATCATCTTCCCTGGTCATGAATATGCAAAGCTCAATTTATCTTTTGCTTTGTCACTGGAAAAAGATAATGAGATGCTGAAAGCAATGAGCAAAGCAGTACTTGAAAAACGGATCGCTCGCTTGCCCATCGTAAGTTTATGCAGCTATTTTACGAAGAGAAGAGAAAGAGAGATTTTGGTATTATGTTTATTACTTTTTGAAAATATGTTTTACAATAATATTTAACAGAACATCTACATTGTCCCATGCACTAAACAAAAAGTGCGATTGTTAAAGAAAATAAAGGGAGATGTATGATGTTAGTGCATAAATCGTTTCTGAATAATATGTTCTGATCGAACGGTTTTTGAGACTTTTTCTTCGAAGTTTCGAAAAAGTTTTTTTAGTATATTAGCTTCTGTTTGAACCCGCTACCACGTTCCTAGCTTTTCGAATATTCCAATTATACTCTTGACTAATAAAATTGTGCTTCATCATCTGGTCTTTTTTCTTGGCTCATCGTCTTCGATTTCAGCGGTTATATAGCTGTTTTATTAAATGTATTTGCCGTTGCGGTTATATGCTACACCATTGATTTTTACTAGAACGGATAATGAATTTAACTAATATTGATTGCTATTATGTGTCGAAATGTAGCAGTGCATCCTAGACTAATATTAATTTGATTATGGACTGACTAATACTTTAATTAACATCGTTTTAACATAATATTTGATATTTTTTTCTAGTTTTATGACCCACTTGATTTCTATGGTGTATACTTAATCCGTAGGTCATCATGGCTACAAGTGAGAAAAACTCTTGAACTTAAAGCGAACACTGCAATGGGCTTAAAGGCGTGGCAGCTTAAATTAGTGATAGTTGTCATAGACAAGCGAGTTCATCATTCGATGAATCACTGTCTAGCTGAGAAAACACTTTATATTTAAAAAGTAGTTCTTACTTATCAAGTAAAAGCGTTCAAAAAAGGAGTCAAAATATGCATCTTAATTGTTGTCTTTTATATAAAATGCTTTACTTTTTATGCTCCGTTATTCATCTTCTGAATCAGATTATGTTTGTCTTCTCTCTCTTTGTTTCCTATGCAGCGTTTTAATAGTTCCCACTCTTAGAGTGCTCCTGAGTAACCGGATTATTTGTCTCTGTAGTTGCATCAGCATCGATTTTCGGGAAGATAAGCCTTCTCAAGAAGGAACACTTGACGACATTGCTAATCTCATTTACTATTCAGTTAGGTATAAATTTCAATATTTTTTTTTCGAATGCTAATATCAACACGCCGTTTACGTCATTTACTTTAGGTAACCTACTGGTATTTACTACTATAGCGTTTATTAAGGCAGCTTGAAAAAATTTTCTCATCAAAGAATAGTTGTGTAATAAACAATAAAATTATGTCGAAGCAAAAGGCTACATGTTACCCACTGTAAGCTATAGGAATAATATTTTCTTATACCATAAAGAATGGTTCGTTTCGTTGTAGTGAATTTGCCTTTTTGACATTCTGAAAAATAATTCATGCTTTTCTTGTGAATAATATTATCCAACAAATTATAAAGATTGTTAACTTCTTATTAATAGTTTAATAATTTTTGATTAGGACAAATATGTCCAATGGGATTAGGCCGCTTCTTTATACCGCATTACTTGCACGCATCGTCTGAAATGCATAGAGCCGGTATAGCGAAGAAAATCATTAACTTTCGTGACAGCGAAATCTAAATTCTGGATTAAAGGATTTATTTTGCATTTACCAAAAGGAAAAAGAAGTGAATTCTTTTTCTAAAAAAGCATGTCAAGATAATAAGTAGTAACTTATATGTTATACAAGTTGTCTTACTTCTCGAATATGATACATTGTAGCATGAAAATCACTATTTGACAGCCCTATCTCAGCCAACTTTCTTCTTGTCACATAATCATTTGACATTTCGATGCTTACCTGTCGGAGGAAAAAGTAATTTCGCTTATCTATTATTAATCATCCAATTTGGAGGTTCTTATAATTTGAAAATATTTTTGGAAAAAAAAGGTCAAATCAGAGCTGGCTTGAATAAGATCAATAAAGAAAGCAGATTTATAAGCATTAATAAAATGCCATCTCTAATTTTATTTGAACTTTTTTTGCTACTTGCTTGAGCAGTTCAACTGCCAACTATTTTCAAATTTTACAAAAAAGAATTTTTCCTCATAAAGCTTTTTCGTGAAATCGGATAGAAAATTTTCTTATTTTAAGGTTGGAGTCACCCTCGGTGATGAATACAAGATCAATCCTTATTTACGCACCTGTTCTTTAAAATTTCGGAAAGCTTTAGTTGTTGCTGGTTACAATGTGCCTACGGAAGCAAAAGTAGTCAGTGATCAAGACGTTGATGAAGTAAAGGACAGCTCGATGGAAGCCCGTATTGCCGTTTTCGATGCTTTAGAAAAAGCTAAAAATGATTTTACAGATGAACTCGTAAAGCAAATAGAACGAAAACGTCTTAAGAGCGTCCGTAACAACGCGCAGGTTTCGTTTTCAAGTTAAGTTTTTTCTTTTGCATCCCTCTCTCTAAATTTTTCTGTTGTGTCTCGGTATCCCGGGAAAATGCATGTGGTGCCGTTTAATGATATTAGTTTATATTTTATATTTCAAGGATTTTTTCTAGTGTTTTGTGATTTTTTTAGTGTTTTGTTTCTCTAGTGTTTTGTGTTTATAATTGTCAATTACTTGCATTCAAACAATTTGTGCATTTATTTTAACAAAAAATATATTAATGGCAACTTTTGTTAATTACCTGCTAACCTCATTTAATTATATCAAAATTTCTTTTGAAATAGCCTCTTTCTCGTCGTCTTTCGTTCCATTCCGTATATATTGCCTTCATTCTTTTGACATCCGAACTACGACTATTCATTTTCTCTAATTCAGTCGTTATAAGAAACTTTTGTGGAAGACTATTTTTGAACTTCCCAGTTCGAGAAATTGTCAGATTTCTTATTTTCTTTCTTATAGTGAAATTTCTTATTTTCATCTTTTAGTCCTAAACTTCTGAACTGCTTGACTAATCCAGCGCAGTTGTTACATAATGAGTTTTTGTACTTCATTTGTGCGTAACACTCATAATTACTCATTTCTAATCGCTTCGTATCATCACATTGTGCTAAAAATATGCTTGTTCATAAGCTGTAATCTTGATACTGTCATCTCTTTTTTGTTTCCTCTTCTGTTTATTTGCTGAATTCAGTGGATGTTACTAATATCGTTTGTTACTTGTTTATGATTCCGATACCTCAGATGAATTCCCAGTATTTAATCGTTTCTACCTGACCGCATAATCAATCGGATGCCTTTCCCGGAATTATGATTAATTATTTAACTTTGGTATGCTCGGAAATGAATTATTTCGAAATTTATCTTCATAATTATTGAAAATCATTTATGTCGGTTAGTTTTTGATTAAAAATTTTTATAAGTTGTTAGAGGTGCGTTCAATATATTCGTTGAAGATTCTGGATAAATTTCATTTCCTTCAGTGATCATTTAATTTTTTTTTGTTTTCATTTTCTTGCATTTGAATCCCGAGATTATCATCTTGAAATTTTAAGTAACATAGTCTTTGCTGCCAAGATATTTCCGAGTGCTAAATATGTTGAGTAGTTTAAAGGTATTAAAATATTTTATTTGTGCAGATTCAGTTTTTAGTGTTTATAATAATTTATTTCTAAACAATTACAACAATTATTAGTAATCATCTTGATACTCATTTTTCGTATTTGAACACTCCTTATGTCGGTGTCGGTTGTACTAAAGGTTGTCGCATCAGCTACCTTTCATCTTTCATTTTGGATAATGTCATTTTATGTGTTTTTATGTGAAGCCTATATTATTTGTCTGCACCATATTATTTGTTTGAATCAACGATATCCGAATATTCGGGTCCTTTGATTTGTCTTATACTGAATTAGCGCTTTCAGTATGAATGAGAGGATTTTGAATGGAGAGATTTGAAATATTTTTTTCCGTGAAAGGATGTCTGGTTTAAGTGGATCCTTTAGCAAAAAAAGTGATGCAACCGAATTAGCCATGATCTTCGGAAGTACTAAAAATTATATGACTAATTTTTCGGTATTCTAATGAGACGCTTCATATGAAATGCCAGGTTTATACATAGCATGTAAATGGCGTATGATCGTATGAGCTGTGCACATTTCAACCTTAACATCGCTGTATTTTTTTGATCTGCGAAATCTCAAAGTTATTAAGTTCATTCCTTTCGATTACAGACGATAAATTAATATAATATGAAAAGGATGAAAGCAGTTGGGAAATAAGGTCACTGGATGTCGCTTCTTGATGTAATGTTGAAATTTCGAATAATGTATGAAAAAAGGATTTCTTGACTTAAACAGGTCAAAAGATAATTAGGTAGATTGTGAAATGAACGGTTCATTGGTAAATGGTAGGCATACTGGCTCTGTCAATGAATGCTGAAAAAGAAAAACAAACGTGAGATATCTGCGATGAACGATGTATTCATTTTTGGAATATCTGTTCGGAATTGATTTGGTAATAATCATTTGAATAATTCGGCGTTCTGTTTTCTTAGTATTTTATCCTCTCATAGAGTCGATGAGAGATTAGCTCATTTTGATGCCAGAAGTTGATATCAGAAGTGGCAAAGGTTCTGTGAGTCTGTCATGTTAGACGTGAAAGAAAGCTTTTATATTCCGCTCGACTCTTGACTTCAACAACTCGTTAATTCTAAGAAATTATTTCCTGATAAAGAAGTTATTGATATGTACACACATGCGCATGTGGAGTTGGCATGCACAGAGAAAAATTGGGTGAGCTGTGGAACGGTTGGCTCTCTTAGATGAAAGGCGTGGCTCAGGTCCGGTCCATTCACAATGCCACCCTGTTTGTACATCTTGCCCGTTAGGATCTTTGAAGGAAACAAACAGCTTTAGCCTGGTCTCTGGCTTGCTCCTTCTCATAACTCCTGCTTCTGACTGCTCACAACACGAGATAATTGAGGGGCGGTGGGAATCTATCCCTAGCAGCATTCCTGAATTAACTCAACAATGAAGAAGTTTCTATTTGGGAATCGTTGAATTTCATCACAATACTATCATGTATGATGGATCCGGTTACGCCGTTTAAAGCCGAATTTTGGTAAAAATCATGACAAAAGTGAAATTTTAATGCAAGTTGTTGGTACTACCCTCAGATAGTGGCCGATTAATGCATCAGCAGCTAGCTCTGGCTTCATATGTTTCCTAAATTTCAGCTCTAAGAAACTGGTAGTGCACACCAACGCCAACAATGGATGTTATCACAGCATTTTCTCTAGTCAAACTGGTACCGGTCGAGAAACATTGATGATTGACAAAGGTGAAGCTTACTGGGCTAGCAATTTTGCGTAAGCTAATGTGTGATGTGGAGTGTTGAAATTCGTGGCCAAGTGAGATCTCTCTTTTATTCGCTGCTTATCACTGCTTATCAGTCCATCGTCATATTGTCAACACCATTATCATCATCACCATCATCATTGTTGGTGTCGTCATCCGACTTCGAGACATCCCGCTTGTCAGTTTGCTTTAGCTGTGCTTCTTCTGCATATCTCAGTCTCTGGAATCAGCTCATGCATCATTATTTTCCACCCAGAAATTTCACCGATCGTTGCTGGGGACCAGATTCCGAAGTCGGTACTGTTCCATGCCGCGGTTCCTGTTTTACCTTGGTCGAGGAAATTTACGAACATTGTAAGTTGTTTAAGTTTAGTTTAATGAAGTTCAATTTAATGGGATTTTCCTGCTTGAATTTCCCTACCTAACAGACTTTAATACTGTTCTGATCTATTAGTATTACCAGCTCTTGCAATTTGTACCATGCATTTGAAAGTTGATTTTCGATGCAAACTTGAATCACTCCACACCACAAAATTTCCATCAATTAGTTATTTCTTTTCATCATCCTTTCAAAAGACGTCATATTCACTGATCTGGCATGTAATCTACGAAAGATTTGCCATCAGAATTCGGATTGTGTTGATATTGGTGCAGCATAATTAAATATCAAACAGAAGACAGGTACTTGCACCATTCAGATGCGCCATAATTTGAAAAATGAGGTGATTTTTCGCATTCCCGCTTATGAACAGTATTCAAGGATGCCAGGCTTAACGGATTGGACTTTGTTGTGTGTTTCGTGCTAATTGTTGCGTTGCTCATTTGGCAGAGATTTCGGTTTCTCATTTGACCAGAAGGTGACTGACTGACATGAGTGACTCGGAACTAACTCAATGTCCATCATTCTTCGCCGCACCCAACTTCTTTCGATCTTTTCATCATCATCACATCAATTCAAATTAATGGCAGTATATAATGAATGCTTTTTGATGGGGTCTTTCTTTTAGCAGATTGGTAATAGTTGAAGAGTATGCATGTGAAAGGGGGAAGAAGAAGGGAAAGAAGCAAAGAAAAAGAGAGAAAGAGAGAGAGGTATTTTTCAATTATTTCGGATGCTTCTGAAGACTTTCTGAAAAAAAGTAGACATTTAATGTTCTCCTGGAAGAGACAACATTCTCTCACCGTTGTCGCTATTCAGTAGAGCCTGAGTAATTGACATTAACGAGTAGAAGTGATGAAAGACAATAACAAAAACATCCATTTCAGCACTGTGCCACCTCCAAGAAAGTATATCAGCATGACTGATTCCACTGATAAAGACTTAATAACTGTGTGGATCGATCTCCCTTCTCAGTATTTTATTCATTAACTGAATGATCTCACTCCAACTACTTTATAGTAATATTCGAATATTTCAGCACTGAAAAAAACAATATCATCTCTTCTTTATGAATAAAATTGAGAAAAAGGCAAAAAAAATGTTGTTCCCGAATCCTCAACTCATTACTTTTCAGATTACTTTTCAGGTTCCTTTAAATAAGTTAAGTTAACTTTGATGGAGAGGTTATATTTATAGGCACGGAAAAAACAAAATTTGATAAACAAAGGTGCAAAGTTTCTTTTTTTCTTTTTTTTTTTTGGTCATTTGGTGTTTGATTAGTGGAGAGAAGTATAGATATTTAGGTGACAAAATTATGCAGCCTGAAATCTCAATTTTGACAATTTACCTTCACAGAATTATTTTAACACTTCACTTTCTAAATAAAAGAAGAGAAAAAAGACTGATAATACATTCAGCAGAAGAAATTATTGCTCTCAATACACCCTCCTAATCCTTTTTCCTCTCTTATTTTTATCTTCATTTCCTCTATAAATTTATATAGCTCGCTATTTTTCAAAGGAGATTCCTCATTTATTGAGAGAAGAGAAGAAAGGAATTTTTTGTTTCTCGACAAGTTTCTTTAATGGAAATCCTTTTTTCTTCTCTCTCTGAAATATAAATTAACCAAAAAACCAACAAATTTGCAAACCTACATAATAATCAGTAAAATTTGGATAAGAATTCCTTTCAAGAAGATTATACAAATGCAAAGAGAGGCTCTTAATTAGCTGGAAATTATACGTGGCTGCTTACATGAAGAACTTACACTTTCGCTTGACTTGGTGTAGCCCAGTTTTCTGCTCATTCGACATTTACTGTCGTTTTAGGGAAAGGTTAATAAGCTTATTTATTTCACAGGCAAGTAATCAGTTTTAAAAATTTAAAAAGATTTTGTGAGAAGTTTTCAGATGTTTTTTATTTTGTCATTTTTTCCCTCCTACATTGTTCTATCCTAGCCAGATTTGGGCACAAATAACTAGCATCATCTGATCGATCGCTATGAAATATCCTTTATTTGAAATAGCAACGAATCACTTTGAGTTAGTTTTTATGGATATGAATTGGTACACAGGTATTTCGTTCCTCAAACGGGCATATATTCCTCCATTTACTTATATTTATGCGTTTATATAAACAGTTACTGCCATGAAAGTTCTTTGCAAGAAAACTATGCGTTTAATTATATTGCATTTTGATGTTTGATGTATCCTGGACTTTGTAGGGAAATAGAAATTTAAAAACTTTTCGGAAAAAAGGGAGGGGTTTACCAGATTTCTGGACCGGGGAAAATATAACTCGGGACTTTATATCCTTTAAATTCCTCTTCATTATGTTTTGTTGCTTGATTACTTCCCCCTTTACTGCAAATTCGGGAACATGCCTTATATTAGTAACGACTAGCCTTAAAAATATTTCTTAAAATTTCAACTATTAACCAAATATCAAAAATCAACAATGTTTGCGTTGAGAAGTTACTCGGGTAATGAAATTTGAATACGATTTAAACTATTTGCTTACAATTTACATAAGATTTGCATAAAATTAATTCCCATTATCTACACTTTATAACCTTTTATTTTGCTGCCCAGCCGTTAATCTGTTGGACAGAGGTAGGATCCAGAATGAAAGAGCAATCATCCTCCTACCGGCTATTTATCCTTCGGAAAAACTGCTTGTATTTGATACACTAACTTCTTTATTTTATTTAGAGGATAAAATAATCAAGCGAAAAAAGTGAGAACGTTATTTTGAAATGACCACTCAAGTTCAAAATTATTATTAAATATTTAATTTATTCATTTTCACGGAATCTCTAATTACCTGCAATAGTTTAATCTGCTTTCCCATGAAAGCTATACAATGTGTGGTATTACTGTATCACAAAATGTTATTTTCGCAAAAAATTCTTCATTATTTAAGTTTTTTTTGTGGGGAAAGAATTCATTTGGAGAATCGATGAGAATTCATTTTTGTAAAAAAAAAATCATAGAAGTTAAATGGACATATCGATAATATCTAGATATTTCTAAAATCTTTTGGCTTTTTGAATAACTAATCAAATTTCAGAGATATTGAGGTTTCAATCATACTTCTACAAAGCAAAGTTTTTTTTCTTTTGAAAATGTGCAGTTTTGCCGTGGCCCTGAATTTCGTGGTAGCGATGAAGTTTGAGGAAGAGTTTTGGTTAAAAAAGTTTTGGTTGTGTTAATCTCTAACTAATCATAATATTAGTATTGTTTAATCGCAGTTCCAAAACATTTATCAAATTTCATTTGTGCGCAAATGCTTAATTTAACTTAACAGTCTCAAAAAGTACTTTCACCTAGCTAATTTTTAGTTGTTCGCCAGGTATAATTCAGATGCTAAAATTGGAGAAATCAGATTTTTCTCTTACTTTGCAATAGTTTCAAATCCGAAGATCTTTAATATCGTTTTATTTGTGTAAAAACTTTGAATGTCTGATTGTATTTTTTTGCATAACTGGGCGCTTGTGTTTCTGATTTTTTGTTACCGAATAGTCAGCAAATAAGAAACTGAGATGAGAATGAAAAAAAAAGAAAAAAAACAAGGAAGTATTTGTAGTGTGAAGAGCAGATGAGTGTATTTATTATTTTCCATACTACCATTGTGAAAAACATTTACTGTTGAAAACAGAAATTAATAAGAAAGAAATTGTTGACATGCATTATAATTAGTTAGCAAATTGCCATCGAAACTGCAATCCCAGTCATTTTAAAGATTCTAATTATCGAAATCTTTCCCACCGCTAATTTACTGGCAAAGTGTACCGAATAATACTTTCTTTAAGCCAGTACTTTGCCCGAGTCGATATTTCCCTTAACTTAGAGTTTTCTATTTTTATCCTCACAGATCTTCGCAAATGATATAATACAATTGATACAACTTGCAGTTTCAACGCATGCAGTGATGCGTGGTTGCGTGAACCGACTTCTGTTGTTTGGTCTCGATGAAGATGTCCGTGATGCACTAACTGTCCAATCAGAATGTCGTACAACTGATCGACATTTACTTCACCTTGTGGCGCTCACTCCACAAACTGACCTCGTATACAGTTTGGATTGATTGAAGTGATAATGTGCTATCAAAGCAGCGCGTGAATAAGAGGACATAATTTTGACAGTATTGTAAACAACTATCAAAGATTTATTTTGAGTTGAACTGAACGGAAGGGGGAGGATACGAGACGTTCTAAAAATTGTTGACCTAACATAATCATTATTTTATCAGATGTTATCCAAAAATCTTCACTGTTAGGAAAGTAAATGTAGGGAGGGAAGAGAATGGATGAAGATGGATCACTACTTTGAAGTGTCTTTGCTTATTCCATGGTCAGATTATTGTTGTGATATACTTTTGAATCTCATTTCCAGGTGATAATGTGCTCATGTATGGGCTCACTATGCAATTATGCCAACATGGACCACGTCCTGTCGATCGCTGTTTCCTCTGCATGCAACGCATTCCTTCCGATTCTTATGCTGATTTTTCATTGCACTATGCACTCTCTGATGATATCTTTTTGATTCGTGTCACATCTCATTCTTTGAAAATCCAAGGAAGCTAAAAAAACTGCTAGCCTTTTTATGTATCTTTGCTCACTTAAGCCAGTTAAAGATGTCATGTGTTTCAATGTGCGATTTTGGCACATCGCTGCTGTCACCGGTTTGTGCAGCAAGTTGCTATTACCATTTGCATATTATTTGATGTTAGCGAGAGTGAGTCATTGATTAGATGGAGTTTGAAGCGAAGAAATACACTTCTGAAAGTTGCACTATAAATTCATACACATGGAAACTACCGATGCAATAATTTGATAGGATAGAAAGTTGAGGAGAAAAGGCAATGAATTAGCCTTTTCTGATGGGATAAAACGTCTCTGGATATTACATTTAATATTCTTATATAATCGGTCACAATTGAACAGCCACTTAAAGTGTCGGAAATGTGTTTTATAAAGCACATCTGTTTAAAAGTCCCAAATTCAATGGTCGAATATGCCCTAGTTTCGGTGTTGCACGTAGTCTAAAAGATGCACTTCTCGTATAAATTTTTAGAAAGATCTGGAAGAGTCGACATTAAAACAGTTACGCCTCAAATAACTTTAGATGCTCATAAACGGCGGCATCACTACCACAGAAGAAATAGTTAAATAGAGATCCATAAGTAAGGCTGGAAGATATGATCAGGCCCATTGATAGAAATTTGATATGTTGATAACGGTTGATTGTTTCACGGGAATTGCGAGATATTTGTATATGGCACTGCCAAATTATTGGATACGAAGCATACTGCAAGATACGATGCTCAGAATCAGTTACACCATTTGTAGTAACTCGTTTGTCAGCAGTAATCCTGCTCAGTTGTATTTCACTATATTTGTTTTGTTCACATGCTTACATACCACATTGTGCCTCTTCAGTTGTGTAAAAAAAAAGGCAAGTTGAAATATGAAAAGAAACAGTGCTAATTAACCGGTGATTTAATTTCGCAGCGATAATTCTGTCATTTATAAAAAATAATCTTACACTTACCGTTTACTCTTTTTGGAAAAAAAAAAGGGAAAAACTCAACGTAAAAAGAAATAATCATAATAAAGTAGTAAACAATTCAGTGGAAATTCTCATCGCTGCAGAAAAAATCTTACTAAGTCATCTCATTACCACAAAGGTTTGTAGTGTGGGATCTACAGGCAAGCCGAAAATGCATTATCATGTTAACCCGTGAGGACAACTTGTCCATCTAACTTGACTTGACAACTAGTGGTCCGTCTCAGCCCGGTAGGGAAATGTCGCACAGCTCCAGGCTGAGCATTGATACTAACTCATAACTGTCGGACTTCCAGGTAAATGGAACAGCATTAAATGCTGTTCCAACAGAGCCAATCACAATACCTCAAGAAAACAAGGGAAAGATGGAAAAAGACAACGAGAAGAAAGATGAAGAAAAAGTGAAAAAGGTTGATGGGGAAAAAGACGAAGAGAAGAAAGGGGAGGAAAAAAGAACACCAGTGATGAGGATGGAGGAAAAAGTAAGAAAGAAAAGGAAAATAGGCAAGCAGATAGGAAGGGAAAAATAGAACAGGTAGAAGGCAATGAAAAAGAGGTAAGATTCTGCTAAACAGTGTGTGCCAAATTCAGATTTCGCTGTAAAACATAAACTTGGAAAGAAAGCAATACTGCGATTCAGCAGAACGTAAAAGGTTGCGATCAAGATGACAGATAATGATTTATAGGACCAACAGAAGGATTTAAACCCGATTGTGACACCTGCCTCCGATGAAGATGAGGTAATACTCTCATTCGGATCGTTTTCCTTCAGCTCATTGCATTTCATTGTTTACTTCAGAAGAAAGCCATTTTGCAGTTGCCGACGGAAACACAGAAAAAAGCAAAAGCATCGACACAGATGACTGTAAACATTACTCAGGAGGAGAAGAAAGAGGTATGGAAATGGTTGTATGGAAATTGGAATAGTTGATAAACATTAATCACTTGAAATGCTCCTCGTTGCCTTCTTTCAGAAGACAGAGACTGAGGAGGAAACACAAGCTAGCAATCTTCAACTGTAATTTGATGTCGCTAAGAGTCACTCATTCATGGATCTCATCGTTGGATAGCATTTGAACATTAACATTATTTCATTTTATCACAATAATGCTCTAGATGGTCATAGTTAATAAACATTAATTACTTGTAATGTTCAAATATTCAAAATGATAAAGCGTCAAATGAGTCAAACGTGACACAGATGACTATAGTAAAGGATCTGGTAAAGGTGATAATTTAATAAAGAATCAGGATTTCAAACACGACTCTATCGCTTAAAGAGAGAAGATGCCTAAAAATGTTAGTCCTCTTTTTGATCCTTCGCCAAGTTTGAAACCAATCCAGAAATCATGTCTTTGATTTTGTCTGCACATACTAAACGTCAAATGATTTATGTAACACGTATTCGATAAAGATGGCTACATTCCACAAGAAAGAATCTAAGAAGCAGAATATTCCACAAATCAAATATAGCGATAGTCGTTCGTTTACTTCAGTCAAAAAAGGGGAACAAGGTGGGAATTTCCTAGCAACGGAGTAAACGCAAGTTCTAACTTTGGTTGAATCAGACCGAAGTAATCATTTTGTACGGTTAAGTCACTTGATCATACCAGCCATAGCGGTTACTTTCATTTATGTTAGGATCATTTATGGCTCATCCTCATTCTGGGGGAAAAAGTTTATAACCAAAAGTTGTCATAAGACTATTTTCGATCTAGCCAGAAGCACTTTTCATAGAATTATTAGGAGACGAATTTATTTATAGCACTTCAAGTAACACTTACCACTTGTCACTGATCATTCCCTCATCTATAGTCTCTCAGCTAGTGTTTTCACCTAAAACCCAACGCCGACAGCTAAGAACAGAGCGTCCTTATTGAGACGCCATCTGTTTCAAAACGTTCATTTAGAGCCGCAGAATATCCTTGAGCCCCGGTGATGGTTTGGTTGTGATCTGGTGTGATCAATTGTGTCCATCGGGATCATAACTTCCTGGAGAATAGTCGGGCGAGATCACTCGTTGAAGTTAGAGGTCATTGAGTTGCGACTGGACAAGCAGGATGAATATCCCGTTCATCATCCAGAATCAGTGATTTTTTCTTAACTGTGACTTGGACGTTGAACATTGTATCTACTGCTTGCTGGATTATGCCTTAAAATTGTTTTCATTGAATGTGCTTGACCAGTCTGTAACTGACAACGAGATCGGAAGAGGAGGGAGCTAGGAATCTCCAGTAGATTTGACAACGATACATTAACTACGAAGATAACGGGTAATTTAAGGCAGAAGATAGTTTGAAATTCATCAGTTAATTTAATGCTTGAGTTATTTTCAATGACTAAGAGAGTCGCCTGTATTTAATAGAATTTTATATACCCTCCAGGTTTGAAGGAGCACAGAGACAAAAGTCATGACATTTTCAAAGTTTATCTTAATTGAAATTTCGAGAAATTTGTTTCAGACGGTGTTACTAACGAAATGACTGAATTGTCTAGGGTTCGTAGAACAGTCTCTCTAGAACAGTTCTCAGTACTCGAATTATGACATTTTGTTCTAATCGCGTGCAAACTATCAGTTTACAAGTGAACTTCCTGATTTACTTGAGCTTATGTCATGATGGAATTTTCAAAACATTAGAAATTTTTTCTAGTTATTGCCCCAGATGAGATCAACGACAGAGGTACCATCACTACAGGATAAGTAGAGTGTACAAATGTTTAAAATATTCTATCCCCTCTGTACCACTGTAAATACTGCACTCATCCTAAAGAGGTAGAAGGAACATTCTTGTATTATAACAGCTGCATGAATAAACAAATAACAGTACTTATAAATAAAGTAATGCATAGTAAAGTTATTTCGCACTAATGGTTTTAAGCAGTCGTAGTAATCTTTTGGTCACTCGTGTTATGGGGTAAATAAAGAATGATTAATATTGGGCAAATTTCGCTTATATCTGAATTCGTTAGAAAGAAGTCACAACTGATGAGATTTGATGATGTTCGATTGTTTCAGTTATTATTTGTCCAGTTTCTGTGTTATGTCGAATCGGATGAACGCAGCCGTACAGATTTCGGGTTTAAGGACACCAACACGTTGTACGGTTTCTTTTTTTTGTTAAAAGTATCAGTACTTAGAATTGCTCAGTTTGAGCTAGACGAGCCTGCTTGAAACTCAAGAAAATTATAAAATAGTATAAAACTGGAAGCAATATAAAATTATGTGATTTGATGGTTGAATGTCAGCTGAAGATGCATCGCCACAACAGCCACGTCGTCTTGAAGTGGTTTCAAAACAAGCAACCAAGGTTACTGCTATCTCTACTCGCTTGGAATGGAAGATTGACCAGGTGATATTAGTGTTTTGCTTTGTGTGTCTCTTTATAGGCTTATAAGTTCCATCAGTTAATGTTGAATCTGATCTCTGTTATTTTTCCAGTTCGAGAAGCTGATGAAATTGTTCAAAAATGGGCATAATTTAATCAGTAAACAATTTGGCTGTCCTCAAGCTCCTACAGTTACTTGGGAACTGCATGTTTACCCTAATGGGAAACGAGAGGAAGATGTTGGCAATGTTTCTTTCTTTTTGCGACAAGTGGGCTTGCAGGTAATTAGCGTTGTGATTCCCTTGAGAATTTAGCGGCCTCATGTATTAAAGATGTGCTGCAACACTCTAAAAACCGGTGAATATGTTGAATCTTATAGCAGTCTTGTCATTTTTCAGCGTGGTGAAGATCCCATAATGACTGAATTCCAAATTTATGCGTTGGATGCGAATTCCTTAAGGGTAAGCGTGTGTAGAGATACCAAAGATTTTACCAATCAACAAGGTCGCGGAAAGTTTCAGGTTTGTTATTCAGCACAGTTTCAACGATTCAAATTTACGGTGGAGAGAAAACAGAAAACTGGTTCCCGAAATGCTTGGTTGTATAATTGGATGTTAGAAGTGTGCTGTGTAGATGTAAAGCAGTTGCTCAACTTTCAGATCAGTTGAATTCGTAAAGTTTTTGCGTCCAGAAATTGTCGGTTTAAAATTGATGACCTATACATACTTAGGTTTCGCGAGATAAAATGATGGCAGCATTGAAGGCGGACGGAGCTTTACTTCTCATTTGCGAGGTGGAATATTTTCCACCTGGATCAAAAATTAGCGTTGAGCAAGCAGTGGAAGCAGAACCTTTGGATGATTTTGATGAAAAGAATGAGGTTTCGATACGGGATTCTCTTAAAGACATGCTGGACAGTGAGCTCTTTGCAGATTGTACTATAAAGGTACGTCCGCCTGTCTTTCTCCATATTTGAAGTAGCTAATTTTGTCTTCATTATTGAGATGACTAAATTTCTAAAACACGTCTGTTTGTTGTATGCATTGTGATTTTATAATTTATTGCGATATGCAGGTTGGTAATAAGACGCTTAAAGCTCACCGGTGTATATTGGGACAACACAGCGAAGTATTTCGTTCAATGTTTGCCCAGGAATCAATGTTGGAAGCTCAAAAAGGAATTATTGATATTCAGGATTCAAGGTTTGAGCCTGTAAGTAAAACTGACTTATTTCCATGAAGCTCACTGTGTGCTGAGATAATGTGTCAATAATTTTAATGTCTTGAAAATCACCTCGAATTTTAAGGTGCGGGCTATGGTAGACTACATATACACAGGTTCGACGGATCTTGTGGAAGGCTATGCAGAAGATGTTTTGGCCATAGCTGATAAATATGCCATTCTGCCTCTTAAAGAGCAGTGCGAGCGATATCTCTCAACCACTATTAACTGTAAAAATGTTGCCTCTACTGCAGTGTTTGCTGATACTTATTCAGCTTCAATACTTAAACAAGTTAGAACTGGTATTTGAAATTATTTAAGCTGCAGTAGCTTTTGTTTTGTCTTTAGTAATGTTCCAAGGATTTTTTGAGTCTCAATGAGCAAAAGCTAACGACGAAAGAATTCCCGGTTGTCATTTAATAACTGACATCTTTTAATACAGTCAAAATTTATCATCAGCTATTTGATATGAAAAATATTATCTGTAGTCAGTTATGTTAAAGTGAAGAATACGTTCTTTCTAGTTTTGTAAAAAGGATTACCGCCTTCTAAGATTTGAAGAAAAAACTTGTTTCTACACAGGCATGCACAAAATATATGTCACTGCATCACCGAGATGTTCTACGTTCCGCAGAATGGAAGCAGATGAAGAGAGAAAGATCAGAGTTGGCAAATGATCTTTTGGAATCTGTGTTGGTCGGTGATGGTGCTGCTAATTCTGGAGATTTTAGTTTTAACGGTAGCGACGAAAGCAGTTCCGCGGGTTCTGGTAATGTTTTGATAAATGATAGCCGGCCACCACTTCGAAAGCGTGTGCGCCGAGCTGCTATCAGATAAAGTTTCATTGAGAGAGCATTAGACGTTTTTTATTGTTTACTGATTATTGATTGAAGGAAGGGTTATATTTTGGATGATAACAACCATGCACTGTTCTGATCATTGCATCGTTTCTGAGATAAAATAAGTACATTATTATCGATATTTATGTTCAACTAAGCATCTTTTTGCACTGATATGTTTTTGTTTCGGAAATAAATTCTGGTTGTCTGATCATATCGATAATGCACATTTATATCCTGATTTGGTGACCAATTTTAACAGATCTCACAATATTTCTGCTGTCAACTGCATTCAAAATTTCCAAAAGTTTGGTTAGCTTGAATCTCAGATACTTGAAGTTGGAATAATCCGGTTCGTATCCTTATGAAAGTTAAATAATTTCATTGTGATCATTGCATTTTAGTTTGTCCTTTTGTTCATTAATTGCCGTTACTTTTGTATTGGTTAGTTAATTGTTTAATTATAAGTTAGATTTAAATTTATCTCGTATCTCACTTTTTTTAAAATTTGCATCAACTATTTCGGTATTCCTAGTTAAACATCATTTTGCATCCTTATTGGCTTATATAACTTTTTACATTAAGCTCGCTGCGAGATGTTTTTTCTCATTTGTGAAGTGTTATGTCGCTACACTTTTCTAAATCAGCATTGAGGATTTTTAAGTGATTCAATCGAATTTTTCATTGTGAGCTATCACTTTTATCGGGTCACGACCTCATTTGTGACAACGCTAATGGGGATTTTACAAATTGTGTTCTAGGGTTGAGCATCCTATTTTTTTTCAAGTTAGACTGTCGTCTCTGTTATTCACTGTTCATAATTCTGACTCATATTTGCTCTCTGGTTTTCAGTTTTTCCTGTTTTGTATAAAAGTATGTCTCGACAGTATTTCATTGTCGTTTGTTAAAGGATTATGAGGGCCATTACTGTTTACGAAACATTTTTTGATCATGATTATCAGATTTCCGCTATGCCTCTTGGTGTTACGGATAATATTGAGATGGAATATGATTATAATTGAAGTCTCTTTTATGATTTGCTTCAGGATTATCAAGTGGAGAACAGACTTCAGGAATCTGGGTCATATGAATTGTATCAGCTTTGGTGGTGATGTTAGCTTAATGAGACTTGGACGTAATGTTGTTAATTATAATTAACTGAAAGATTAGAAGTGTTCAGCAATCAGATATGTCTATGGATTGAAAATTAACAATCCATTATTCTTTCTTTGAGATGTGACTTTTAAATGAGTGCGCTAGATTGGCGAATAATTTCTATCACGTATAACGTGAATACTAGGAAACCCGAAAGTGATCAGATTTATCAGCTTTTACAAGACGGTGATGCGAAAGATGCCGTTATTGTTGCAATTGGATTACAGGTTTATGTTTCATTTCCTTTGTTTAGATCAGATAGACCTAGTAAAATACGCACGACCTTTTCTTTGCAATTATTAAATATTTATGAGGGGATACCTTATATTGGAAATGACGTAGCTTTAAATGTATTGTATAAAAAATGTTTCTAATTAGACTTGACATGAAATTTACCTTCTTGGGAAACGTTGATTACTTTGATTGCATACGGTTTACTAATCCAGAATGAAAAAAGGCAGTCAACCTTTTCTTGTATTTCTTTCTTTCGATATGTTGTCTATTTCCCTATTCCGCTAATACTTATCATTCTTTTTTCCATATAATTTCAAACTTTACCGCAAAGAATGACTGAGTTAATGCTTTCGAACTTTGGTTATCTTGAGGAACTTTCTCATTTGGAGTTATTCGGTACGATACCGGTCGAAACGACGTGGTTATCAATTCTGACATCATGGATGAATGCTCATGGAAAATCTCTTCTTTGTAAGGCATCACTTGCTTGGAATTTACTACTCATTTTCGCACAACTGGAAGTGTTTCCTTTAGTGAGTGAAATCAACTCAAGGCAATCACGATCTAGCTTAGGAGGCCTTACTGGTCATAAAGGAAGCGTATCGCTAAGGATAAAGTTTAGAGTAAGTTGTCTAATTACCTTTTATTTTCAGTATGAAAATGAACAACTTTCTGACTTTTTCCATTACATAGCAACATAACATAGCAGGTGGAAATTTCAGCTGAAATGTAAAGAAAACAAGCTATTTATTGGAATTTCACAATTTCAAGTTGCAAAAGTTAGTCCATGGTCCGACATATTTTTATGTTGCGCAGTTTTAGGATGAAAGTTCACTGGTTTTTATTACGTCGCATTTTCTGCCGGATACAAGTAATTATGAAAAAAGGTGTTTACAATATAAAAATGGGAAAATTTGTGCCTTTGACGATGTAGCAGGGGGCAGTAATGGGAGCAATAATGTAATATGGCTCGGCGATTTTAATTGGAGAGTAGATCAACTTACATCGCAAGAAATGATTATGTATGTTTCCGAGTTATTCACTTTTTCATTTTTAAGGTATCACTTTTTCGACTTATGTATATCTGTTTCCCAATAAATGATGCTTCGTTCGTCTTTTCTGATTGGTTGCTTGCAATGGATTCGTATTAAGTCATTTCAGGATGCTAGCTGAATTGAATTCTAATAATTATATGGATAAGCTCGTGAATAAATTTGATCAGCTAAAAAAAGCTCAGAAAAGCGGACGAGCTTTTATGGAATACAATGAAGAGAAAATTCGTTTCGCTCCCACTTACCGCCTCATGGTAGTTTTTACCTATAAAGTCTCATGTGTTCTTTGTGCTCATCATTTGAAAAAGTTACGTAAGACATCAGAATAATACATTACTTTTGGAAATATGTTTGAAATGCTATTTTTCTTCATCTGATTTTCATTTTCGGTATCCATCGACTTTATATCTGTTAGGTTGGCTCCTCACATTATGATCAAGAACGCGTACCGTCATGGTGCGACCGCATCCTTTTCAAAGGAAAATCTCTGCGTTGTGAGCGATACGAATCAAATCACATGGTCACTTTGTCCGACCATTTTCCAGTTTATGCGCATTTTATTCTATCTGAACCGGTATCACGACAGCATTCTGGATGGAAAGTTCGTTTTGAGAAAATACCCCACTGGTACAACATCGTACCATTCACATGTCGATTTACATATTTGGACGATTTCTGGAATATTAGTGGATCATATCGTGACTGGGTCGCGATTTATTTGGCCGATGTTCCCAATTCTTTACAGCCGTTAACCTGGTTGTATGTAGTTGCTTGTTACAATACGATTATAGCAAATAGATCAGTCACCATTGCGGAATTCCCATGTTTAAGTGCTGGACATTATCGGGTTGGCTATTTTAGCACATACAAAAATTGTCTGCAAGGTTTGTCCGATATTTTCGAAGTTGGATTCATCAAGTAATTTCCAAAGTTGGTAAAATCAGTGAAAAGAAAGCATTGGTTGTAATTGAGAAAAATACTAATAGAAACCAGTGGGTTACTATTAATGAAATAAAATGAAGAGGGGTCAGCAAACTTACTGCTGTTAAATTTGCAATACACACCCAGAATCATTGTAACTTGTTATATTCTGGTCATACAGTATAAGCCGCAAGCTCATATATTTTCTTCACTTGTTGGCACTGCAAATCCTGCCTAATTTCTGCTATGCTTATGATTTTCAGATCTCTACCTTTGATTATATACGTATATTTCTAATGTCGTTGTTTTCATCATTATATCGGCTTCCGTCAGGGATACTGGAAGTTTTGTACACTTAGAGGTCTAGGAAAACTTCGGCTTCTTGTAACAAATGACCACAATCACTCGTCCTCTGCTTTGATCCTTCAAATAATTCATATAAGAAAAGTTAGATGGAATGACTAATTTGTTCAAAAATTAAGAGCCTGATTTATCGAAAGTCACAATTGTCTGCAATCCAATTCGACTGCAAACAGTTGTGACCATCGATCCTGTCGACTTCCTCGTGAAAAGGATTTTTTTTTTCTCCATAAAGAATTTTTTGTTTTAAATTGACATATAAACGTCGTGAAATTTTTCTTCGGTGGATAGTCCAATGAATTCTTTGTGTTGCGTGGGACCAACTCGTATGAAAGAGTTTATTCGTCTCCACTATATCAAAAACAAAACCAGCAGTAAAACTTGACAAGCTTATATTTATTAGGAAGTGGGTGTGGTTTTTTCTAATTATTCAAACATTTAAAGAGATGTTGATTCGCATACATCGGAATTTGTGAGAATATTGTTATCAGATGTACATTGGATAGATGAGAAACATGAACACAAAGATGTTAAATTGAATAACTAATGTAAGCAATTGAAAAGAAAAGCATTTCCTTTATACAGGGATAAAAAACATGGGAATGTGAATTTAGACAGATATTAAGATGAGATAATTAATGGATCATGAATCATGAATCATGGAAAGCATTCCCATCTTACACAAAATTTATTTTAATTTTCGCGACTTTCGCGACAAGGATGGGAGACAAGCATTTTTTCACCTTTTGGAATAAAGAGAAGTAAATGTTAAATGCGATCTCCAGTATGATCCCAAAAGAGGAGGCATGAATATATATATAATATATATATTTGAAGTGTTAGTCTAACTTGGAACTTCTGTCAAAAAAACTATACGTACAATGCTAGTATTAAGTGCGATATGGGTCTATCATTATTGTTGTAGCTATATTTTCGACTCGACCACATTCGGACTCCATGATATTGGCCACTATTCTATTTAATTCTTGTCAGTTATTAGGCTTAACATTTTGACATTG